ACCTCACACTTGCCAGACAGGCACTGTGCCACTGAGCTATATCCCTGGCCTAGGATAATGAATTTAAACTATCCTATCTGCTACAACTTTATATGAAATCAGATTGAATCAGTTGCCAGTAAATTAAACATTAATTCCATTTCAGGATCTTTTCTGCATGGCATTTGTGTTTTGTGAGAATTGCCCTTCTTAGCCTCTTTAGAACCAACCATAATATTCCAAATTTAAATCCATCATGGTATCCCCTGTTCTTCCCTTTCTATATCGTTAGTGGTTTCTTGGGGCACAGCTGTGCCGAGATTACAGCTGAGTATCCCTGAAGTAACACAGCACTCTGTGGACCTTTTGCCTAGCCTGTAATTGGAAGAAGCAGCCTGAGGCGGAGATTCTGCAGAATGCTTCTCACCGCTTCTAGATGACACTGATTGATTACACTGAATTTTTATTTTCTTTCCAAACTTAAACTTTCTTTCTTGGTCTGTAGTCACAGCACTTGGGAGGCTGAGGCAGGAGGACAGTTGCAAGTTCAAGACCGGGCTGGGCTACAAAGTGAGCTCCAGGGCAGCCTGAAGTGCATAGCGAGATTTTGTCTCAAAAAGACAAAAATAAATTAATTAATTAAAGTGAAGCTTTCTATATTTTTTTTCTTTTATCAGTACCAGGGGTCGAACTCATGACCGCGCACTTGCAAGGCCAGCGCTTACCCACTGAGCTAGATTTCTAGTCCCAAGCTTTCTTTCTTACTACAACTTCACTTAGGGTCTGGCTTTTTTGCTTTCATATTTTTCTTCTTCTCTTCGTCCTCTGCCTTCTCTCTCCTTACTTCTTCCTCTTCAAGGAAGGATGAAAAAGAAGGAACCAGGTAAGGCTGTTGAATGAGAGTTATTAAAAAGGGGAATAAGAATATGGACTTGGCATGCCTGGCCAGCACAAGGTCCTGAGTTCCATTCTTGGTATTGAAAATTATGGACTTGGAGGATAGACATAGAGCACAGGGGAGACTTTGAAGAACCAAAAGAGATTAGGTGGAAACTAACTGAATTGTGTAAGATGAGAACGGGTAGCCTTGTTTGGAGATGGCATCTGGGACAGACAGTGGAGAGCCCGGCGGCTTCTCCTGTCGGCCATAGGGGGCACTGTGAACACACGATGGTTTTCTAGTGTTGGCTGAATGACAAGGGGACAGATTGAGGCTGGGGACAGTCGGTCATTCTATAGACAGGATGTCTGCTAGACGGATGTTTTAGCAGCCTAAAGTCCTATGGGACAAGAGCAAAGATAAATAAATAACTGGTGAAACAGACTCTTCCTGGAGCGCACTGCGGGACCCACAATGACTGGAGGCCATGAGGTCATTTTCAGTGGGGTGTGTGGGGTGACATTTTCTGGAGTGGGTGGTGGGTGCAGGATGTGGTTGTCATATGAGGCCATAGTATTTGCACCCCATCTTTCTGTATCAGCCTTGTGCTCTGTCCCCCTAGGTCACCGTGCCCCTCACGCCATGCTTCTAACCAGGGACCACCACTCATCTTTGTACACTGCCGTCTTCTGCCATCATCCGGCCTCCCCATTCCCTCCGGGAATTGTGCCTGGGAATTTCTAGGCCAAATAAGTGGCAGAGAATCTGGCAGAGCCCAGAGGTAGATGTCCTCCCCGGATGGCTCTGAACCAAGTGAAGGGAGTGAATACCCAGCCCCTGTGGACTATCCCAACCCACCCTGATGGGACCCCCCTGCCTCCAGCTGCCCTGAGGGGTCTATTGGTCACTTTGCTGTTAGTCTCATCACTCACTGACCTGACTGCTTTTGCAAGACAGCACGTATTAAAACCTGAGGGCCATCGGGGAGGCTGGTTCTCGTCAGCCTGGATATTGTTTGTTAAGCTTTTCCTTGTGTTAGCAATCCAGACTTTGCTCAGGGAGAGCTGAAACAGTGCAGGGCTTTGGAAGCCTCGTGGTCTCCCCCCACTCCTCCTACGTGGGAGTCACAGAGCAGCGCAGATTGCTAAGGTCCAGTTCTGCACACAGCCTGACAGAACCGGCATTTTTAGAACAGCCCATTTGCCTGAGGTGTTATGTGTATTGCAAGGGTTCAGAGCACAGAGAAGGAACTCACAGTAGGTTTTGTTTTCATCTTGAGCCCCTGGGGATGGCTCCTATTCAAAGTATTCCCAGTTGAAAATGTTTCTGAAGAATTCTTGCTTCTCCTGGAATGTTCTGTTTCTTGGAATAAGGCTGGAGGGAGGGAGGCAGAATAGAAGCACCCTGTTAAGTGCTTCAGCATTGGCATAATTCACTGCTAAATTATACCAGGGTTATTGGCACAAGGAGACCCAGATCGATGGAACAGAAGGGGGGGTGGAGGGAGCTCACATACATGCCCTGTGGATGCCGGATGCTGCACCAAGGCGCTATTTAATGAATCAATAGGAACAGAATGAGCTTTTCAAGTGCTGCTGAAGGAACTGGCCACCCTTGGGGTGTGGGGGGCTTTGACTTACACATCATAGAATACACGAAAATTAATTCAAGATAGACCATAAACCTAACTGTAGAAAAGAACTTAATGTACAGTAAAACTTATAAAAAGAACCAGAATTTTTTCAACATGATACTAAAACCACAAACTAGGAAGGAAAGACTTGATAAAGTAAACGATATTAAAATGAGAACGTCCTCTTAAAATTATGGAAAAATACACAGCACATCTTCGGGCTCCCTGCAGAACTGCCCTGTGCCCCAGTGGCCAAGCTGGACAAGACCTATGTGCCTGCCCCTTGGACCTCGAGGCAATGGGTGCAGGCTGGAGCTTTGTTCCCCGCATCCCTCCAGCTCGCTGGCTTGCTCCTTCTTTTTTCCCGGACAATGCCTGTGGGGAGGTCAGCTGCACTGCTGCAGGAGGGAGCCAGGCCCAGGAGCACGAGGAAAAGTATTCAAAGTCCAGCCAGATCAGGGTCTGTGACTGCAAGCCCTTGGCTTGCAGGGTCGTGGAGGGAGCTTGGGGAGGCCTAGCGTCTTGCAGGGCCAAACAGGCAAGGTAGGAACCCTAGGAGGGGGCTGGGAGGGGGCCAGGAGGTGTGTGCAGTGGCCACTCTCCTGCCCCCCATGCACCCCTTCAAGATCCAGCCACACATGTCCCACTGTGACCTATGCTTGAGGGAGGAAGCACAGATATATTTGGAGCTTTCAAAACTTTTTTTGCTGTGCACACATTCTTGCAAAGCAGAAAAAAAAAAAACCCAAGAGATTTTAAAAATCCACTGCTAATACATAAGATGAATGGGAAAATCTTACATGCCAGGGTCATTTCCTTTCTGTTTTAAGAAATGAACACACTGGAAATAGCCTGTCGCAAGAGAGGGACTTTGTGTCCTTTGGATGTCGATGACTCCAGAAAACTTTCCAGGCAGGCCCAAAGGCAAGGTTTTCAGTTTCCCAGGACCTAATTCAAGATGACCTTGCTGCTAGAGACTCCATGAGGCCAGCAACCCCGCGGAAGCTGGGATAGGAGACTCAGGAATGAGTCACACATTCATTCGTGAAATGGTGCAGCACTCTCAGGACAGGGCTTTGGCGGGGAGCCAGGCCCCAGCGCTGTCCCCTCCCCTGCATTCTGGCCCTGGTGTTCAGACTGCAGAAATGAAACAGGCATCATCCAGGAAACGGCAGGTGTGTAGGGTGTCTCTTCTCCCTCAGAGGCTGGGAGCTACACCCCACACACGTGCTCTCTCATTATCTGGGAATTTCAGGGCCAAACCAGAACTCATTCAGTGGGTGTGCCTGGGTCACTTCCAAGGAAGGTCCGATCGACTGGTGTACAGAGCCTTTCCGTGATGGTACTGGAATTGAACCCAGGGCTTTGACACTGAGCAACTTCCCCAGCCCATTTTATATTTCTAGTTGAAAGACAAAGTCTCACTGAGTCATTAAGTTGCCTGAGCTGTGCTCAAACTTGTGATTCTCCTGGCTCACTCAGCCTCCCTGTGCTGAGATTACAGGCATGTGCTGCCCCATCCAGCGGGTGAGATCTTATTCGGGCACCGGTCTCCCCTTCATTGATTAGGGCAGGAATCAGCTGGTGTCTTCTGCAGTGGCCCCATCACCAGCATGTTGGGCCACACAGTCTCCAATGCAGCTGCTCTTTCCAGCCATTCAAACATGCAAAGGCCATTCTTAGCTTGCAGCCCATGTGGATGCAACTAGGGTCAGCTCTGGCTCACAGACCATAGTCAGCCAAGCCCAGGAGCAGAGACCTCGACTGTAGAGCACTGAGGACTAGACAGTTGGAGCTGTGGGTGCTGATCTAGAGCAGGGACCTGCGCACTGAGGCAGAGGAGGCGATCAGTACACAGATGCCTGGTGCCAGGGGCAGGGAAGATGTCATGCTGGCCCCTCTCTGGGGCTTCTGTACCTCACGCAATACCACCACCACCCGGGCACATCAAGATGAGAAGCAGCCTCTCTGGGGCATTTCTGTCCTTTCCAGCCACCTCCCCAGCCTGTGGGGCAGGGAACTCCGAGCCACCTTCTGTTCAGAGACACTGTTCCTGGCTTGGTCTGGGACATCGGTATCCCACAGCTCTCTTCCTGTCCCCTGACCCTTGCCAGGACCACAGCTTTGCAACCTAACCCTAATCCTCAGGCAGGATTTTCACATTTCACATCTTCACATAAGGCTTTGGATTTTCTTTCCTTTCACTGTAATTGCTTATTACCCTCCTCCAAGTAGAAACATTGGTAAACAAAAAGAAACGCTAAAACATTTTGGAACTAAAATGTCACTGTATTAATGGAAAAGTCCCAGATGATGCAAGACAGCTGGGAGACTAAAACCCACTGAAGCATAGTCTAGGGAAGAAGATAATTTTGCTAACAGTAGGTTTTTCTTCCTGATTGTTTTTGGTAGTTTGCATGTTCCAATTCCTGCATTTCCGAAGTGGATGCTTGGCAGGCTGGGCGGGCTGGGCTACGGGGACTGATGTGCCTGCACCCTCTTTTGCAGGTCCATCCATCGTGACACCCCCCAAGGACATCTGGAATGTCTCCGGTGCCCAGGTGTACCTAAGCTGTGAGGTCATTGGGATCCCAACCCCAGTGCTCATCTGGAACAAGGTCAGTCCATGATGGCAGGGCAATGTCCCAGCCTCACCAATGCAGGACCAGCCCAAGGCCCGCTGCTACTGGGACCATGCTGTGTCCACCTTAGACCGCTGGCACAGCTGTCAGCCAGCTGCTGCCCAGCCTACTTTCCACAGCAGTGCCCTGGCCAAGATCCGAGCAGTGATAACAACAGTGTGTGTCTGTATGTACAGTACAGCATAACAGTTAAGAGCTCAAGATTCACATGGAGTATGGTGGCACACACCTGTAATCCCAGCACTCAGGAGACTGAAGCAGGAGGATCGCTACAAGTTGGAGGCCAGCCTGGGCTACAAAGTGAGATCCTATCTCAATAAACAAAATAAAAAAGTGAGTTCCTCTCTTTCTGTCCAAAAAAGACCCCTCATAACTACCTGCCAGGGCCTCAGTCCCCCACTTGAGATTGAACATTCAGCTGGCCCTCTGGGACCCATCTGTTGAGAGGCCTCATAGGAGCTGGGGCCTGGCTGAGGGGGAGAGGGGCAGAGCTCTGCAGCCTTCTCCTGTGAGCATGGTTCTTTTTCTTTTTTCTCTCGCCACATCTTGGTTTTTTGAGACACAGTCTTGCTCTGTGGTTCAGGCTAGCCTTGAATTTGAGGTGGTCCTCCTGCCCAGCCTTCAGAGTGCTGGGGTTATAAGCCACAATCACCTCGCCCAGTAGATGGAACACCTTTTGGACTCGGGTTTCTGAACCCAATGGTCAGGAACTCTTTGTAGAGCCAGCTGAAGAAGCTCGTATCAAGCTAGCTGAGACAGAAATCAAGAAATCACATGCATGCGCGCATGCACACATGTACACATGCATGGACACACACCGGCACACGCGCGCCCCCAGGGAGAAAGAAAAACAAAATGGGGCGACTGCAGCCTCCAGGGCTGCGGGCGGCAGGCCCGCGAGTGTCCTCCCACTGGCCACCTGGCTCTCAGCATAGCGTCTCATCATCTGCTGGGCAGAGCATTGGTCCGAAGGATAAAGTCGTCACCCGGGGACCCCACCAAGTACTGCCGGGCGGGTCAGCGCTGACCTCTGGCGCCTTCTGGCGGCCGAGGGCTGCGGTGCCGGGAGGAGCCCGCGCCTGCCGGCTCAGATGGACCCTGCCGCGGGCGCCCCCTGCAGGGCACAGGTTATGTTTTCAGCGACCGGGTTAGGAGTGTTGAGAGGGGAACAGAAAATCCGAAAGTGCTCCAGACTCTCCTTAGCGGCAGGGAGACCAGCACCCCGGGAACGCTTGTCCCTGCTCCACTGCATGGACACCCGGAGAGCCGCGGCCGAGGTCATTACTGGGACGCACTGTCCTCTCGCCCTGAAGGTCCCGGATGCGTACACTTATCCAAAACCACTAATGGCTTCAAATCTGATGTAAACACACAACTGTTTTGAATAAAGTGAATGCTGGATTTTACACTTTGAAAACACAAACTGCCTAGCGCGGTCGTGCATGTCTGTAATCCCAGCAAAGGGGAAGCTGAGACAAAAGGATCGCCACGAGTTTGAGGCCAGCCAGGGCTCCATAGTGAACTCCTGTCTCAAAAAACAAAACAAAGAGTATGTGCAGTTCAGAGAATGTAGCATTCTTTCTTGCTTAAGAACTCAAAAACAGAGCCGAGGGAATACAAGCCTTCTCTCCATAGTTGTAGAGAGTTCTTTTTTTTAATTATTAAACTCTTTAATAGGTGATTTAGTGTAGGGCTTTATTTCCAAGAGATGCCAAGGCAGTTCTTAGACTTGGGGCACCGGGTTATCAGTCTGTACTGTCCTTACCAATAGTTCTTTTGTTGCATTAAATGAGGCGTTTCTGCCTGATGGTACATGCCTGTAATACTAGTAGGCATGCCAGCAGGGAGTCTGAGGCATGAGGATCTCAAAGTTGATTTTCACCTAAGCAACTTAGCAATTTAGTGACTTAAGACTGCCGCAAAAATATTTGTGCATGAATGTATGTATGTATGTTTTTAAAAATTAAGTAGGTCAGTGAGAAAGCCCTAGATTCAATTCCCAATAACCACAAAGTTAGATATAGTGATGATGATGAAAACTAATGATCTAAAAGCTTATAAAGAGTTCATAATTGTCTTTTCTCTTTCCATTCCCTAAATAAACTGTGAACTACCCTGGCTTTATCTTTCTACAGGCTTTTTCATGCCCAGACTGATGATATGGCAGAGAGGGGGGACTATAATATGCTCATTTTTCCTGTCTTAATCATGGTTTCCTGGGCCCCTCCATGGCTGCTTTTCCTAGCTGTAATTCCACATAGCCACGGATCCTACCGTGTCAAACCATTGTCATATTGCTTTTGTATTCCCAGCTTTTTGACACCCTAAACAAGCAAGGTTGCCTTCAACATCCACATGCACATAGCCTACTCCGCTCTTCTAGGAATAGGATAGAGTCCCGGAAGTCACGTGGCTAGCACAACTAGAGTACCGGAAGTTACCTGCTCGGGTGGAACTAGAGTACCGGAAGTCACGTGGGTAGGTGCCGCCAGAGTACCGGAAGTCACGTGGCTAGATGGCACTGTTCCTTCTAGTTGTAGTAAGCCCAGATGGCTGAGTGGGTGGTGGAATCTTAACTTCACAGCGCTGTGCCACCCTGTCACTGGCTGTAGCACACAGGTTAGCATCGCAGTCTGTGTGGTCCTCGGACCGAACCTTGGCCTCACGTGCGCTTGGCCCGCATGTACACTGCGCGGAGTCCTCAGTGCCAGTCACTGCTTCAGCTTCCTTGACTACATTGAGATGGTCATGCCGTAGGAACTGCCCTTTCATACCCTTTACCTGTTTTCTATGCAGTTCTTCAGCCTTTTTTTTACATAGAGGTAACTGAACCTCTATCGTGGATTACAAGTATTTTTTGTAGACAGTTGCTTTGTCTTTTGTTTACAGTGGCAGGGGAGTCTGAAAATTTTAACAAATATATGCATTCTACTAAAACTTCTGTAGATTTGCCAGGAAAACCCAAATAGGTTCTGTAATGCATAAAGTTTTCCTGGGCAACCTCTTAAATTTCTTATCCCACTACTCAAAGGAATCTACCCTGCATTGTCAGAATTAGACTTTTTCACATTTCCTGCTGCTTATTTACAACAGCTGGACTCAAGACAGCAGAGGCATGACCAGAACCACCAAAGAGGCTGAACTACCGTACAGACCGAGTCTTCACCGTACACAGCTTTCTCGGCAGTTTTTCCTGTGCGAGAGTTTCTGGAGTTTGGACTGGCACTTGCAGCCCACGATCTGCAGAATTGTCTTAGGAGCTTGTTTTTTCCATCTGCATCTTTTTTAAAACTCTTACTCAAATAACTTTGCCATATAAAATAATGGCCACATAAGAATTCTTGGCCCGTCCATCTATGGTACATAACTTTTTATATTAACTAAAATATATAATGAATTCTGTTAAATATATTTAACAATAGTTTCTGCATAATAGATTGCATTAATTAGCACAAAATGCCCTTTTTTTACTAAAAATTATGTGATCTATTGACAAATCTTACTTTTCTGCTTTGGTGATAGGTAAAACCTTTGTAGGATACTGGGATTCAGTGAATTAAGGCCTGAGATATAATACTTTAACCACTGAATCAAATTAGTACCACAAACATTAAGACCCATATTAAATAACTTTTTTTAAACAGGTCTTGCTATGCCGCCAGGCTGGTCTTCTGCCTGAGCCTCCTGAGTCGCACGCATGTGCCACCACACCAGGTTTAAATATCTACTTCAAAAGTGGCACTCACATAAAGTTTCTGCCAGCTACTTGAGAAATGGAATGAAAACATGCCTACTGTTTTATCTTCATTGCATTCATATGAAAAGAAACCCAGTTACCTGGAACTCTCCCTGTGTTGGTGGGCATGTAGAAAAATTCCTTTGTTACAGAAGACATTGAAAAGGCAGCTACCTCTCTGAGAGTTTAAATCCTTATTACAGAAGTAATGACAATAAACTTCAACTCACTTCCTAAAAAAAAGGCCTAGCATAAAATGAACATTTTTTTTCCTCAAACCCCCCCCCAATTATCACAAGCCCTAAATTATGTATGTCTCTTATGTGATACAAGCCTGTCTAATCCTGTCACTAGGAGGCTGAGGCAGGAAGATGACCAAGAGTTCCAGGCAACTGAACTACTACATACCGAGTCACTCTCAAAAATAAAACATCACCATTTCTAAATGTATGTGTACGGGGGCTAACAAGTACATTTTTTCTTGTGCATTTTCACATATCTTCCAGTTTTCCTAATGAACATAGTTTGACCTTTAAAAGAAGGGAGAGCGTTAAAGACATATTCACTATTGGCGTTAAACCAGGCAAACTGGCTACCTTAAGCCAGCCTTCAGGATCGAGTCCTGACATGCATAGAACAGATACCAGGCTTTGTCCTGAGAACAATGCCAGCAGTTTATATGTGACAGGCACGTTGGACCTCAGGCCCTCAGTAAGTAAATCACTGCCTGAATCCTTAGCTCTCAGAACAAAGAAATGGAATTGGCTTGGCCCCAATCCGTTGCCCACTGATGAGACCAGTACGGAAGAGTCCCAGGCCCAAGCACGCCCATCACACTAGCCCTAAGGGACAGTGTGGCCCACAGACAATAAAGGCCCTCCAAAGAGGAGCAGGTTTCTGTGGGCGGAGATGGGCAGGAAACATGAGCATGTCTTCCCCAAGCAACAGATTAGTGGGAAACAGCAGGAGGCAATAAATGCTGCATTCAGAACAGGGACCGCGCAAGTCAATTACTCGGTTTAATTGTGTCAGAAACCTGATTTCACCTTGTGCGATTCTCAGAATGTGCCCATTTCCAAGTTGAAGTTTTGGTGCAGAAAATGTGTTTTGCAGGTCAAAAGGGGTAGCTATGGAGTTCAGAGGACGGAACTCTTGCCTGGCGACCGAGACAACCTGGCCATCCAGACCCGCGGTGGCCCAGAAAAGCACGAAGTGACTGGCTGGGTGCTGGTGCGTATCATGGGTGGTGGGTCTCCTTCGGGGCTCAGGCCTGATGAGGCCTGAGGGGCCGGGAGTCTCCCTGTCGGAGACTCAGTCTCCCTGTCGGAACAGCCCTACCACAGCTGCAGCTCCTCTTCCAGGAGGCACTAAGGGCGACTCGGAGGTGTTTTGTTTTTTGTTCATACCAGGAATCAAACTCGGGACCTTTCACTTGCCAGGCAGGCACTTGTGCTGCAGAGCTGTATCCCTGGCCCATGGAAGGTGTTTTAGAAACAATAGGGACAATTCTAGCTTTTTCACTAGAGTTCAAAGCAAAATTCTCACAGGCACCTAAGACACGCAAGTTCTGATCCCGTGGGTGTTTCTTAGCTGATGCCCCATCAGAGCCTGCCTCCAGCTGCCAGCTTACATGGAAAGCTGTGGGTGACATTTCCTGTCTCCTCACCCACGGCTGTGCTTCTGGCTGCACCTATGGTCATGTTAGGGAACTGGAGAAGGACCCTATGGAGGCCTGTGCAGAGGAGTCTACCAGACACTGACATCCCCTTCCTCTCACAGGTGTCTCCTCTGAGTAAGGAGGACGACGGAGAATACGAGTGCCACGCATCCAACTCCCAAGGCCAGGCCTCCGCATCAGCCAAGATCACAGTGGTCGATGCCTTACATGAAATACCAGTGGAAAAGGGTCTGTGAAAAGAGGTGGGTCAGTCTCGCCACCAGCGAAAGAGTGACGGGAGCTTCTGCTTAATGAAGAATACAATTCACTGTGTACTGCAGATATGTACTAATACACTTTTAAGATTTGTTTTTCAGAACAGGTCTCACTTTGTAGCCTTGAACTCATGGCAATCCTCTTTCCTCAGTTTTCAGAGTGCTTAGATTACAGGCGTGTGTCACTATGCCCAGCTGAAGATTTCTGAAGATTCACAAATTACTTTCTTTAAAATTTAAAAACAAGAGGGCTGGGGATTTAGCTCAGCTGCATAACTGCCTGCCTGGCAAGTACAAGGTCACAAGTTTGATCTTCGATACAAAACTATATATATATATATATATATGCAGACAACACAGAAAAAACATGAAAAAGAGAACCAAGTATCAAAGTTTATGAGACTGGCTATTAACAAGCTCTATAATGCTGGGACCCACAAGGGCACTGGGTACATTAAAATGGGGATCCTCTGATTCCAGAACTGTGGGTGGCTGATAGAGGGCCAACATTATGACAGATGCCTGGATCTCTTCTCTTAGACTTGAGAGGCAAACCCCAAACTTGCCTAGAAAAGCTTGCATTTCCTGTGTTACTACCCATATGGTATATTTCCTGTGTCATGACTAGTTAAGTTCCCGTTTAAGGGGAAGTGGTTGTGGGCAATTTGGTCTTTCACTTTTGAGCTTTTAAGAGAAAAACCCGGAAAGGTGAGGATGTATTCTAGCAAACACCCAGTGCTGTTGTGCCCCACTTTGCAGCCCCGAACCTCCCTCTAAATCAGTCACAGCGATGCCCCTTCACATGGTGCGGCAGCGCTGTCCACGTTGGCCTTCCCTTACACCAGTCAAGGACAAAACCTGCCGTCAGCTTTTGTCTTACGCTTCTGCTGCATTCAAATGTGGAGTGAAAGGAAATGGCAAAGAAAAGATGTGTTTGGTCAGAGTCCCTTCAGCCAAGGGACTGGCTGTAAAGCCAGACAGTGAGACCAAAGCAGCAGCTAAAACACGAGCTATGCGTCCCTCAGCTCTGCCACTCTCTGCTCTACAGTAAGCTCTGAACAAAAGCTTACTGTGGGCCATGAAGGAAAGCTCCTTAGCCTCTGGAGCTCGACTTGCTGGTGTGTGAGATGTGTGACCCCAGGTCTCTAACAAGGGTCCCTTTAAACACGAACCAGTCCAGCAAAATTGCCTTCCATACCTCCAGTCGTACATCTCGAATCCCAGCGCACCGCAGCACATCACTGTCACTTACAGAACCCCTTTGCACTTTTACCCCCACAGTCTGTTTTGCAGACAAGATCTTACTATGTAGTCCAGGCCAGACAAACTCACGGTGACCCTCCAGCCTGTTTCCCAGGCACCAGGATTACAGACATGTCACCAGGCCTGATTTGTTTGGTTTTTCTCAAAACATAGGATTTCACTGTTACCCAGGTTGGCCTTGAAATCCTGGGCTCAATGACCCTCCTGCCTCGGCCCCTCTAGCAGCAGAGGTAACATGCACACCACCGTGCCCTGCTCTTCTTCCCCACATGGTAACATCTTTACCTGTTTGAGAACCACCTGACAATCAGAAAGTCAACCATGTCTGCGTATGAAACTGATTTCTGCCTTTCTCTTTTTTAAACAGGTGGAGGTGCTGACTATAAACTCGCAGAATATCTAAGCCTATACAGCTGACAGCAGTCACAGATAACTACATCTCCTGTTCTTGCCTGAGAACAAGTCTCTTTTAATCTAATCCACTAATTCTTTAGATATTTACTGGTTTCCCACAGAAAAATCCAAAGATAACACATCCAGAATATCTACAAAAATTTATTGTCTATTTACAGATGAAAAAAGCATGCATATCACTAAACCAAATAAAACACTTTTTACCGCAACACAGGACAGCATGTCTTTCTTGACTGAGGGTGCTGGGGACTGAACTCCTATCTTGTCATTTTTTCAAGGCTACGTCATAGAAACAAGATACAAACAAGTATCTCATTGAGAATTTTTTGGTACTGGGAGTTGAACTCAGGACGTTGCACTTGCCAGGCAGGTGCTGTGCCACTGAGCTAAATCCCTGGCTCACTGAGAATCTTTTAAAAGAGTTGCACTTAGACACTCATCATTCGAGGTGCAATGCTCATAGACATAAGTTCCTGAAACAACAGCTTGCATGCGTAAGGCATTCGCACCAAAGAAATCTGAAAAGGAAAGAAAAAAGTAATTAGCAGAACTGCGCCAAAGTTACTTCCCTTTTCTGCCTCAGCACAGAGGTACAGCGCTGGAGCTGGCAAGTGAGCATGCTCAGTCACCTGCCCTGCACCTCGCTCGCTGAATCCTACCCTCTCCGTACACATGACTTATATCAACCTTCCAACTAAAAGGTTTAAGAAAAACTTGCTGCTTAAAATCTCTTACTCAAGACCTTATTATAAAAGATAAATAGTTTGGGAAAATTACTACCATTAAGGTTTTTTTTTTTTTTTTTTTTTTTTTGGAAAAATTGAATTACCTTTTTTCTCATTAAAACTAGAAATCCTAATATAGACAAACAACCACAGTTGTGCCATACCAACCTGTCCCACTATGCTGAGTCTGCTAGACAAGTAGACCAACATGCTTGTACCCTAAAGAAAAGACTAAAGTCCATACACACCTGAGTTTTGTTGCGGCAGCCCCTGCATTCATATGTGTGAGTCCTGGTGTTAGCAATTGCCATGATTCCACAGAGGTTGCAGACGTGAACCTGGTAGGGATCTGATGCCTCAAACAGCCTTTCTCTTAAAAACTGTGCTGCTCCATGGGCAATCTGACAGTCTCGTTCCATTTCTCCAAAACGCAGGCCACCATCTCTGTTACAGGGAAAACGGCAGATCACCTTGTACTTTCACTCACAGCAAAGATAAAGAATGACATTGCAAAGGAGAACCAGGCTCTAAATTTTTCTCTCTAGCTGGTGAAAAGTCTACCAGCCTTCTGACAGGCACAAGGTCCCCAAATGGAGTAGGCACACTAGATTCTCAAGTACAGCACATAATTTTCCTCATAAAATCCAATGAAGCACAGAAAAGAGCACATCAAAAGCTACTGTTTCACTTTCTGAAAATGAACACTATACTCAAAATTGAATTTATGAAGCCAATTTAAATAAGGCAGCTGCCCTGTGAATGACTCCTGCCCCAGCAGTCAAGCCAGGAGGACACATGCATGTTGTAAAGGGGAAAAACTAGTGAACTAACGGCTACCACAGTGGCTCCAAAATTGGGTGATGACGGTTTCCGTCACATTCTCAACACAAGATACCTGCAGAAAACCAAGTGGTCTGGAATGATACTACCAAAAAGCAGAAGTCACCATTCCACTTTGCAAGACACTAGACAACCCATTCATTATGTTTGAAAACTGGCAAATATTCAAACATTTACCTTGCCTTTATTACAGGCAGGATAAACAGACACATATCACCAAGTGACTAGTTGGGGAAACAATTTTAGAAATAATGCAGCTAGCCAGGTGTGGTGGCTCACACCTGTAATCCCAGCACTCGGGAGGCTGAGGTGGGAGGATCAGGATCGTTGCGAGTTCGAGACCAGCCTGGGCTACAAAGTGAGCTCGAGGCCAGCCTGAGCTGCATAGCGAGACCCCGTCTCAAAAAAGACAAATAAATAATGCAGCTAACGAAGGAATGGCAATCCCTGTTTAATCAAAAGCTTTAAACAATGATCATCAACAGCTATGAAAGTCATAAAACAGAAGGCAACCACCAGGCATTATATAGCACATACTTAAAATTCTAGCACGCTAGGTAGCTAAGGCAGGAGAACCATAAGCTTGAGGCTGACCTGGGCAACCCAGATCCTATCTTAAAAACTAAAAAGGGTCTGAAGATACAATTTAGTGCAAAGGTCCTACGTTCAATCCTCAGTCCAAAAACAAAAAAACCAGCCCAGGCTAATTAACAGCAATGATGCTAACACAGCTCTCTCACCGAGATCTGCCCTCCATAGGCTGTCGATTAAGGATCTGAATAGGTCCCCTGGCTCGAGAATGAATTTTATCATCCACCATATGCTTTAGACGCTGGTAATAGGTGGGGCCAATAAAAATCTGTGATGTGATTTTTCGACCAGTAAACCCATTGTAGAGGACCTAAAGAGAAACAGACTGTGAAACACAGAACTAAAAACATTAAACAAGTTCAAAAGGTATCAGCACATACTGTTAATTCCAGGCATAAATGTCAAACAAAACTAATCTATCAGCAGCGAGGAGAGTGGGGAGTGTGTGCTGACAGCAGTGACCACAGGGGCATGAAGGGTCTGGGTAAGGCTCCTTCCAGGACCCTGGTATTGGTCACTCGGGTGTGTTCACTATGAAAATTCATCAAGCTGTGCAGTTACGATTTGTACACTTTTAAAGTATGTGTTACATTTCAGTAAAAGGTTCATTTTGTAAAAATCACATGCATAACAAAAAAGAATGCAAATAACTACACCAAGCACAAGTATACCTCATTTCCTCTGAGATGGTAGCCATAGTCAGACAGAAGATTAGAGATCTTCTGCACATTAACAGCATCATTAAATGGGGTGGCATCACCAATTTCACCCTTGTTAGCCGAGACCTGGAAACAAAAACATTCTTTAAAATGCAGTTTCACTGTTTTCCCATAGAAGTTACATCTGAATAAACAAACAGTTAATTAAAATCCTTCTACAAATGGGAAAATTTTGAACTTAAAATCTGTATTAAGGGGACTGGAGATTTAGCTCAGCGGCATAAGCACCTGCCTTGCAAGCAGGCGGTCGTGAGTTCGATCCCCGGTACCGATAAAAATGAAAAAGACAAAAAAAAAAAAAAAATCTGTATTAAGGAAAGCTATAATATACTAGGCTCAGTTTATTAATATTTAAACTTTATTTGAAATAATTTATCTAAAAATGAAAAACTCAGTTATAAGCCTTCAAATAAAAAGCTAGCCAAAGAATCAGGAACAGGGCTGGGGATTTAGCTCAGCCGCATAAGCACCTGCCTTGCAAGCAGGCAGTCGTGAGTTCGATCCCTGGTACCGATAAAAACGAAAAAGACAAAGAATCAGGAATAGAGACAGCAAGACTTCCAAACTATTCTGATGGCTAAAGGAAAATGACAGTTCAATATCCCAAAATCAAACTATCCACATGGTACAGGACAGCCATTCTACCCTAACAAGACATTTAAAATATGAAAACCTCCACTGAAATATGCTTAGCTGATAATATACCTATAAAATTAAGTTCATACTGAACTAAGCACCAGTGAAGTAACTATAGCAAAGAAACAGTGAATAAGATAACCATGTATGTATCTAGAACTTGTAGGTAGTATACCTGTCTTGGCCATAACTGCAAATATTCTCAATTAAAAAAAAGGGAGAAGCAGAATCATAACCAATTTGAAGATAACCATACCAGCTTTAACAAACAGCCTGCATCAAATATGAGAGGAAATAATTATCATTTTGAAAGAAATGCCATTTCAGAGCAATTTCTTACCTTCCCTTGAAGACATTCGATCAAGTGACCAATAGTCATACGAGAAGGGATGGCATGGGGGTTTATGATGATATCAGGAGTGATACCTTCACAGGTAAAAGGCATATCCTAGAAACAAAGTTTTAAGAGACTTAAAAGATACTAAAATCTCTTAGCTACAAAACTAGGACCAACATCATCTCTCAATTGTATTGTTTATGTCTTAAATTCTGTTCAAGGTATGTTTATTTCTTCATTAGTTAAAAAGTTAATAAAATTAGGCTGTGATTTTAAATAATAGCCAATAAGACTCTGGATTAAGAGTAAAGAAAACCAGACAGCTACCTCTTGCCGGTACTGAATACCACATGTCCCTTTCTGACCGTGCCGACTAGCAAACTTATCTCCAATCTGTGGGATTCTTACAGAGCGTACCTGAGGTCACAAAAAATAGGTTAAATGAAGTCAATTTACATTCTGAAGCCACTTACATGAAGCGGATAAGTTATACTCACCCTTATTTTACAAAATTTGTATCCTTCCTGGTTGAGAGTTACCATAACCTGATCCACAATGCCTGTCTCGCTGGTCCGGAGAAAAGTGCTACAGTCTCTCTTGGTGTAGCGTCGGTTAGTGCTCTCCAGTTCATCTTCATTCTCAGGCAAAGTGACCGTTTTGCCTATGATAACATCATCTCCAGACACACGAACCCCTGGAGCTATCAAGCCATCATCATCCAGCTTGTCATAAATGGCATGCCTCATGCCTATGAAGAAACACACAGGGCAGCTTCTGGAATGAGCATCCCACACAGGAAGTACTAAGAATGTGTTTCACACACACACCATGAAGACTGAAAACCACACACACGTGTGCCTTCTGCATGCATCTTCCAATAGCAATTGCCAAGTTCATCTTGTGCAATCTTATCTCCCCTTCACACCAAGCCACTACTGCACAGGACCACCCTATAAAACTGGAGTAACTAGAAGAGACAAAAAAATAAAACACATCCCTCTTATAATGCTGCTGGTAGTGAAGCCGCAGCAGAGATACCCATTTCCCTGGCACATCCTACTGCACAGGTACTTTTTAAATGTCTCAGTATCAATTAAAATGTAATTTTCAGTTTTCTAGAACAAACAACAAATGCTAGGTTATCTTCTTATTTTTAAAATGTTTACCAATACTTTGGCCAAATAAATATGGCTATATCACAGTCTGGGGGCAAAGGAGAGCTCTTGTGCAAATGTACAATGTGAAGAACAAGAATAAACACAGCTTCTCTGATCTACGTTTTCTCCCACTGCAGGACCGAACAAGAGGGAAGGTCTGCGGCAAGAACACTCATGGAAGGTGCAAGGAGTCTTGGCAAATCA